GATCACCATCACCAACTATTGAATTCTTTTGTCCTGGACCCACTCCGAAACCACCGTGCAAGGCTCTTCTATCAGCAGCTCTATCCTTATATGCATAGCTCTCATGCTGTCAAATTGACGGGAGACAAATTATCAGGGAAATGCAGTTTCATATAGACAAGAACAGACAAATGAGGATTAAATCACTCAGCCCAAACTCGTTAACAGTTTGACAGACTCGGCTATGAGCCTCTTGCACCTGACTAGTAATTACTTGACAAACAAGTATACGAGCGATAGTCTAAAACCATCTTCCTTGAAGTTGAAAGTTATCTATTGACGTAATGGGACTGCTTATGTAGATTGGTTATGTCAAAGGCAAAACTTCAAGGCTCTACGTGGACTACTTAAAAAATGATATTTAACAAGGGTAAAACTTCAGCAATTGAACATGTGTAAGTTACCCTTTCGTATGTTTGGCCACGCAACAGAGATGAATCCTTGCTAACTGCCGCTCCATCTAAAGTTTCTGATTCACAGTTTACACTGGATTTTGAGTTGGGGAGAATTTGTTTGTTGACTGATAATTCAGGGAAGCCCCAATCTTTTGTTGGATTTGAAGAATCATAAGTTGGCAAGGAAGATAGGTATCGTCTACTGGGACTCCGCAACTTATAGATTTGTCCTGAAAGAATCACAAGAAGGTGGTTGCAAGTAACAATCAAATTTTGCAATTGGTAACTGAAAAAAGCAGGCAGAACACAGCACAAAACAAAATACAAGTAGGTCTTATGTTAGAGGAAAATGCAAACCTGTTATAACTCGTACCAGATCAAGAAGTACTTCACATATTGGAGCAGTTTTTAGACGGCCACCACCAGAAGGCATAGCAGGATGAAGCTTAGCAGACTGTCTCACTAATCTCCCAACAAGCCTTGCTTCCTCACCTTTTCCATCCTTTCTGGGCTTTGTGATCATTTCCCAGTCCCATAAACTCACAAGGGAAGACTCTGGGATAGACGCTTCTTCAGACTGAATGACCTGACCATACTGTGCTCGCCAGTTCTCTTCGTCCCATGAAGCACCTGTGCCAGATATGCTTATATGTTTCAATATTGTTGGGGTATCATCACTTACATATATTTATATAGCAGTGAAAGACAGACAGACCAAAAGTCCTACAGATTACCTACTTGCTACTTATTGAAATGAAAGTGGATATCAAGTCATCAGTAATGAGCCGCAACATTGTTGCAATACCTTCATCAGAGACGTTTTCTTTTGACTTAATTGCAGCATCAAGGTCCTCGGGAGTCAATTCACGTTCATTGAGCTCGTGACTATCATTGTTCCCTGCAACTACACCAAACAAAACCATTTAAATCCTGCTCCAACCACAGCAATCTTTTATAAATAAAAAAAAAGGATAGCAGAATTCAGGACAAACCGTCTGCTCGCAACTCAACATCTGTTTCAGGAAGCAATGTCATATCATCAGCAGCATTGGGTTTTAAATTGGAATAACCCGTCAAGAAAAGATCAATAAGCGTATCTTCCAACCTAGAAAAATGTATAAAACACGAGTTAGGAAAACATTTAACCAATCAATCAAACTACTAAGGGAGAGCAACACGAGAGCAACAATACCATTCCGAGGCAGGAGGGGGAATTCCGGGTACATCACTGCTACCACGGCAATCTGTATCCCCTGTTTACAAAACAACTAATTCACTGCCCCAAACCAAAGATCAACATTACACGTCCAAACGACTAAAAGTCTAAAACTTTGAATATGCTCCAATAGTAGTAAATCAATATATATATTTATATATATAAATTCATACACACACACACACACACACACACACATATATACACGCACAAAAACAGAAAGCAATAGGAATTGCAATGGCACACCTGCAACTTCATTGGGTTCCTGCGGAACAGTTTGTATGCGTTGATTTTCATGTGAAAATTGATATTCTTGATTGGGATTTTCCAAATTACCATCCTGAAAATAATTTTCCAACCAAACTAGAAATCACTCCACCTAATACCAGACAGATAGAAGAAGAAACAAAAATCATAAATTTAAAGAACACCAATAACAAGTTCAAAAATTTCAGTCAGCCCAAGACTTAAAAGAGCGGAAAGCGAAAGAGGGTACCTGGGGAGAGGGAAGATGGACGTAACTTCCATCTTCGAACTTGTAGTAAAGGCCATCTCGGGTGCTGTAGTACCAGCCGGCTGTTGGGTCGTGGTAAAATCCACTACCGGCATGGAAATAGAGCTGAGAGCTTTCGTCCCAAACAAAGGAGTTGTGGGCGTCTTGCGGGTCGGATTCTGAGGGACTCGGACTCGCCGCCATTTGATTTGTTCTATACGTGCATGTTTCGAGATCAGCAGAGACCCGTCGGAGCGGCCTAGGTGGCTTTCTTTCTACGACGGTATGCTCGCACGAACCGCCTGCCAAAGGAAAGATGATGAATTTGGGCTCAAGTTGGGCCATGTTGACTATAACTGGGCCAGCCTGAAGTCCTTTAAACTTTTTTCTTTTCTGATAGGAGAATAGTTATTGTTTTTTAATACAAGACCATTTATCTATGGTTTAATGATATTTTTCTTCACTTATAAATTAAATATTTTAAGATCGATTCTCGTTATTTGAGCTAATTGTGAGACTTATCCCACTTTCCATCTCCTTAATATAGATAATATTATTTGTTAAAAAAATACAAACGGCATTTAATAGGTACTAACCTATACTAAAAAAGAGTAGAAATTTTGAACAGAGACAAAGGATTACAAAGGAGTGGCTATGTTTAGAATACTAGTAGATTCGGATTTGTTTAGAAGTGCTTTTAAAATAATTAAAAATGCTTTTAGTAAAATATTTTTAAATTTTAAAAAGTATTTAAAATACTTCCTTTAATAAGATTTTTTTTTCTTTCCAGGTTTTACTTGTATTTTAGTAAGAATTAGCTATAAAAACGTTTTCAACATAAACCCTTTTAACTATTTTATAAACACTTCTTTAACGAGTACACAATTTACTAGTGTTTTAAAAGAGTAATGTCAGAAAGACTAAATTTGTAGACAAAGTTTTGAAATCTAAAGGACATAAAAGTTGATGACTGATTTATTACTTATACGTTAATAAACATGCTTATTTTTATTGGTAATACATAATTTAATTTGTATATTTAGTCTCTAAATTTGATTTCTCTAATATTATCCGTTTTAAAGATAACCAAATCATGACAATGTGCTGAGGTGTTAAGCACCGCTGTGGGCGGTTGGCTTTTGGACGTGGGAGTGTGTGGAGAAGCTATTGGGGTGCCATGTGTAGGCTGATGTGTCTGTGTGTGGCATTAGCTAATGTTTACCATGCATGGATAAAGGCCGTTGAAATTTTGAGAGCAACATCTTTGTCACACACGTGTCTTCATCGAGCTAGCAGACAATAGACACTACGTACTACTTTGTCTACTTAATTTGTTCCATCGTGTGTTGGATTACATGTGGTAGTTAATTTGAGGCAAACTCCTTCCAAAATTTTATAGCGCTCGAGTATAGGATTAATTCTAACTATATAATTATAGGTAGCTTAAAAAGGAAAAATGTAAGGAGTAATCAGACTTTAATGCCCGTATTATGTGGGTATTATGATTGAAATTGAAGGGTTATGGGTGAGAAAACGATAGAAGGGTTGTAGCATGAGTTGCAAATACTTGCATATTATGTGGCATAAGGTGGAGGGTGTTCGGTTGGACAATACCATTTTCTTTAGGGAGACGAGCTCATTCTTCCACTGATGAATAAGGTATCTTACGTAGAGATTTCAGAATCAAAACAGATCAATCTCTTAATCTTCATGAAGATCATCTCCATAGAAAATTATTCACATTGGTGACAGTTTAGTCCTCCAAATATATTGATGCATACATCTTTTGTATGCTTAATACATTTGGATAGCTAAAGGATCACCAATTCGAATGACTTTTGGTAAGGATGAAAGAGACTGAAGCAGTAGGGCCTGATAGAGAGATTGCCTTGAAGCTTAGCTTAAACCTTTTGTGTCTATATCGTCTCACTGAGTAGAAATACAATCATTTTAATATCAGAGCTTTGAGCTAGACTTAAGGGTTGTGGGACACGAGTCACACGACTTAGAGTCTTGCAGTGTAAGTAAGCGGATCCAAGGTGTTAAGAGATCCCTATGGTCTGGTTCACCTTCCCTCTTTCTTTGAAATCGCTGGATCGACATGGTTCATTCCTGGGCTATGCTCTTTCTCTCACTTTCTTCGACGAAGATAAGGAGTCACCTTAGCTTGCCCTACTATCTTCATATAAAGATTAAGAGATTGAACAATTCCAATTATGAAAAATCTATGTTGAAGATACGTTATTTGCAACTAGAAGAATGAGCTCATCCACAAAGGTGTGAATGTAAGCGTATGTTGAATGTTTATAGATAGGTGGTTTTTTACATAGAAATCATGAGTAGTTGTAGGTCTCTATCTAAAGAAGCTTAAAATTTTAGTCATCATGACCATCATCGACATCATTGATATTGTCTTCAATTTAACTATTTCTTATCAGGTGTATATCACAAACGTATCAGTGTTATTAGGAATAGCATCACATACATAAATTGTATAAGAGAATAATTGTATTCCTCTTGAGAGAATGCACATATTCGTCCACTGTTACTACGTGTGGTGTTATATATATATATATAGCAAATAAAAAAAATTCTGTGATATTAGAAGAGGAATACCATGCATATTTTATTTATATTCACCCAATGTGCCTATGTCATTCCTCCCTTTATAGTTACGAGTGTTATAACCAAGCTATCACAATCTCTTTACAAAACATTTCTCTTGATAATCCTCCCCCCACTACTTCTTCTAATTGCCAACCTACCGCTATCGCTCTCAATCTTCATCTCCAACCTTTTTGTTTTGGTCAATCCGACCTTATCGATTTCAGAGGAAAAACAAGCTAGCTAGCTTTCCATGGCTTCAAGCATAACTAAGATTAATGTAGCCCTTGTGAATGACACGTCACCACTCCCAATAACTCTCAAAGGATCCAACCTTCTCGCTAATGGCCACCCAATCCTCACTGAAGTCCCTCTCAACATCACAGCTACCCTGTCACCTTTTAACAAGACCCCCTCCGGCTGCTTCCTTGGCTTCGACGCCGACGAGTCTAGGAGCCGCCACGTGGTCCATATCGGAAAACTCACTGCGATCAAGTTCATGAGCATATTCCGGTTCAAGGTCTGGTGGGCCACCCGCTGGACCGGAACCACCGGAAACGACTTGGAGCACGAGACCCAGATGATGCTCTTGGACAAAAACGACTCCGGGCTCCCTTACGTTGTGATTCTTCCACTTCTGGAAGGACCCTTCAGGACCTCTCTCCAACCGAGTCATGCAAACGATGACTACCTGGACATTTTCATGGAAAGCGGCTCGACACGTGTCAGCGCATCGAACTTCAGGAGCTGCTTGTATATGCAAGGTAGCGGTGATGACCCGTATAGCTTGGTCAAGGAGGCAATGAAGGTGGTGAGGGCCCACTTGGGGACGTTCAAGCTCCTAGAGGAAAAAACTGTACCAAAAATAGTGGACAAGTTTGGGTGGTGTACGTGGGATGCATTCTATCTTAATGTGCACCCCAGAGGGGTGTGGGAAGGTGTGAAGGGCCTGGTGGAGGGTGGGTGCCCTCCAGGACTGGTCCTCATTGATGATGGGTGGCAATCAATCTGTCCGGACGAGGACTCAGTGGAGGGCCAAGAAGGCATGGCCAGGATATCAGCTGGGGAACAAATGCCATGCAGGCTGATTAGTTTTAAAGAGAATTATAAATTTAAGGACTATGAGGGGGCGTCTGGCAAGGGCTTGGGTGGCTTTGTTAAGGATTTGAAGGAGGAATTTGGGAGTGTGGAGCATGTGTATGTGTGGCATGCGCTTTGTGGGTATTGGGGTGGAATTAAGCCTGGGATTAATAGTCCAGGGATGCCCGAAGAGTACTGCAGGGTGGTTAGTCCTAAGTTGTCTCCGGGATTAGAGAGGACAATGGAGGACCCGGCGGTGGACAAGATTGTGAGGAATGGAGTTGGGTTGGTTCTGCCGGAGGTGGCCCACAAGCTATATGAGGGGATTCACTCTCATCTTCAGTCGGTGGGGATTGATGGTGTCAAGGTTGATGTCATAAACGTAAGCTCTCTTTTGTTGTTTACATACTATTTTATTAATTATGGTATTGTTATTTGCCTCTTGCAACTCTTTTTTTTAAATTTATTATTACTAAAAGGAGGGTGAATGTAAAATTACTATAATAATTTAAGAAAGATGGAGTTTTGAAGCAGACATTTATGAGTAGAAACTAACATCATATCCATTATCCATTAAGACACAAGTGACTATACTTTTGAATACGCATGGGCGGAAGCTATTACAATAATTTATTGCCTCTATAACTTAATTACTTGGACACGAGTCACATGTCTTACTTAATAGCGTTTGATATTTGTCATGCGACATTTCATGAGTTTATCGACACCAATTAACCTAGTTTACATCGTCATTATACTATATGATGTTGAATTTCTATCCCCTGCAAATCAAGATGAACTTAGAGATTGGTAGAAAACATGGCATTTTTCACAGTTTCTTAACCGTTAGTGAGTATTTCGGTATTCTCTCACATTTATTTATGACTGTTGGTATTTTCTCAAATTTATTGTCTTGTCACCAAGTTTACGAAAGTTGGTGACAAACAAAATGGGTCACTATATATCCTAGGGTCACTAACTCTATATTGACTAAATGGTGACTAATGGTACTAGTTGCCAGCAGCAAAGGTGATGATTGGGGATCAATAGTCACAAATAAAGGTGTATAAGACCATCTCCAAAGGAGATGTCAAATAGGATTAAAAGACATTTAAGGGTTCTCCAATGGATATACCATATATGATGTGGTATGTGAGTCATTTGACTCCTTGTTTTGTAGATGCCTTTTTTGACAGCAAACAAAGAATATATTTAATTTAATTTTTAATGCATGGGTCTCATTAACAACCAATAGAACAAAAACTAAAACTAATTTTGATTATTTTTTAATAGTTAATGTAACTCTAGGCCCAATAAAATAATAAAATAAATATTTGACACATCCATTGAAAAATAAGATAATTTAGCATTTGTATTCAATTTGTCACATCAGTCATCAAATAAAATTTTGACATACTATATTTGACATCTCATTTAGAGATGCTCTAGGGGGTCTATAGTCCATTATTACTAACGGGTCACTAGGGCACCATTTGTAGTGCCCAAAAAAACATCATCATCATTGGTAATGTTAGATTGCAAAGATGAATTTGTATATCAGATTGGGAAGTTAAATCGTGAGATTTAATTTCTAGTTGAAGCATTTCATGCCGTGGTGCAGTTGCTTGAGATGTTATCCGAGGATTTTGGCGGTCAAGTTGAGTTGGCTAAAGCATATTACAAGGCACTGACTGCTTCTGTGAGGAAGCATTTCAATGGCAATGGGGTGATTGCTAGCATGCAGCACAGCAATTACTTTATGTACCTCGGAACCGAGGCCATAGCCCTTGGACGTGTTGGTATGTAGATTCTTTATATTCCAAGCATGTATTCTGCACTCTGAAATTTATTTGAGGTTTGTGCTGATTTACATCCCGAACTTGTAAGTGGTCAATTTTCATTGTGAACTTCTATTTTAGTCCATTATTCTTTTGAACGTTCATAAATAACCAATTATCTTTTCCCGTTGTTAGAGTTTACATTTCCATTTAAATGTTGTCACGTGGACAAAGCATGAGCCTATCAAGCGGGTGAAAACATCATTTTACCGCTCTTAAGTATTTGTTGCTATTCTAAGGCCAATATCAAACCTGTACAAAGAAGAATTGGGTTCACGTGAGGGGTTTTAGTGAGGTGAAAGTTGTATTTAACCTTGATGGAGGAAGAATGGTGATCGTGTTCAACCTCAATGGAGGAAGAATGGTGATCATGCGGCAAAACACGTGACTAATTTAGATGGAATTTTCAATGTAATCTTGATTGATTGAAAAATAGAGAGATAATTGACAATTTCAGGACCGTAATTAGCTGAAATGAATGTTTATTGTGAAAATTAATGGAGTGGTACAAGTTAAAAGAGAATAAATCGAAGGTCTAATTAATTTCTTAACGTCTACACGACATTATTTTTTTTGTATAGGAGATGATTTCTGTTCTGAGACGATGGAGCAAGCAGGTGGGACATATTGGTTGCAAGGGTGTCACGTGGTGCACTGCGCCTACAATAGCCTTTGGATGGGCAACATCATACAGCCAGATTGGGACATGTTTCAATCTACGCACCCGTGCGCTGAGTTCCATGCTGCATCAAGAGCCATATCTGGAGGACCAATCTACATTAGTGACTCTGTTGGAAAGCACAACTTCAAGCTTCTTAAGAACCTGGTGTTGCCAGATGGGTCCGTACTGCGATGCCAACACTATGCCCTTCCTTCTAGGGATTGCCTATTTGAAGACCCTGTGCATGATGGGAAAACAATGCTCAAGATATGGAACCTCAACAAAGTAAGAAACCCTCTAGAAATAAGGGAAGTCATTTCGCCACAGTTCTTTATTTTTTTCTTTTCGTTTTTACATACATGTGTTATTTTTTAAAGAATAGAAATAAACATTGGTGCGTGAACAGAAAAAATAAATGTTTTAAAACTTATTTCCTTGAGAGAAGATAGTGTCGGTCATATGACTTGCGAGTACTTGCGTAACTTGCAACTGCTAATGGTTGTAAGTCTTGTAATTGTGTGACTTACAACTGTTATAGGTTGTGAGTATTGTGACCACTGACATTGGCTTTTCTCCTTTCAAAATGTAGTAATGTTTCGTAAGCTAACTAGCAATATAACCCTAGGGAAATGAAATTCACAAACCCCTCTGAACACCTACGTTATTAATTTATGTTCCTTGATAATTCTTTGATTTATTCAATCCAAATGCTAGAGATTGAGAGGAATGTAAAGAGGAAGAAAATGAGTGGTGAAAATCATTTCCCTAGCCTAAATGCTTGACCCTTCTTAGTTGTAGTGCCAACTCAATGTTTTCCTGCATGTATTTACAGTACACTGGAGTTTTAGGTGTTTTTAATTGTCAAGGCGGAGGATGGTGCTCTAAATCCAGGAGTAACAAAATTGCCCCCGACTGCTCAAAGTCTGTGACCTGTTTGGCTAGCCCAAAAGATGTCGAATGGAATCAAGGGAAGAATCCAATTTCAATCAAAGGAGTGAACACTTTTGCTGTGTATATGTTCCAGCAAAACAAGCTGAAGCTCTTGCAGCCATTAGAGAACATAGAGATTTCACTTGAGCCTTTTACTTTTGAGCTCCTCACCGTTTCGCCGGTGAGGGTCTTGCCGAAGAAACCAATCCAATTTGCTCCGATTGGATTGGTCAACATGCTTAACACTGGCGGTGCAATTGAGTCAGTAGAATTTGAGGAACATGAAGATTCCCTTAGTTTGGTGAGAATTGGAATGAAGGGTTGTGGAGAAATGAGAATGTTTGCTTCAGAAAAGCCAATTGCTTGTAAGATCGATGGGGAGGGAGTGAAGTTTCATTACGTTGATAAGATGGTCAAAGTCCAGGTGCCATGGCTTAGTTCTTCAAGGTCAACTTTAGTTGAGTACCTGTTTTGAGCGAATAGGAAAAAATTGATTTTGCTATTTGCAATTTCAATCTGAAATTCAAATGTGTTTTTTTTTTTCAAGAAACAATCTGATATGTTAGATTGGTAATGTAACTCTGGATTTTATATGAGGAATGTGTTTTAAATTTACGCTAATATAACATGTTCAATATGTTATATTTGATAGTATGTAAGAGAACAATTAACATAGCAAAAAATAATAATGATTATGTTTGCACCATACTTGATCAATCTTGAAACTACTAAGCACTGGTAAACTTCATACTTTTAAGGATCCACTAAGGGGTTCATGTTGAGGCACCCCTGTCGAAGCACAAGAGTTTTCTTCCAACCAGGAGGCCAATCACAACACGATACATGTCAATATTATAATAAAACTCATAGAGTTCCACATTAACTGCGGACAAAAGCTAGAGACTCTCCTCAATTATAAAAGAAGACCATTCTCCTACAACAAATCCCTAATGTCATTATTGTACTTAAACTACTCATTATAACTCACTAATGATGATTATGCTTGAACCTATGTATTTGTGTAAACCCTTCACTATTAATGAGAACTCCTTTGCTCCATGGACGTAGTCAAACTTAAGGTGAACCAAATACATCTTGTGTTTGCTTCCCTATCTTTATCTCTTTATATATTTATCCTCACTAGTGACGAGGCAACCGAGTAAATATCACAAACTTGATACTTTACGTTATTCTAAAATCTCGTCGATTTTGTACATCATCGAATTACAATTGCTAAACTACATGTTTTAACAATAGGATGTTTGTATCTCCTGAAAACATTTTCAATATCAACCACCTACTTACGGCGGCAAATCCCTCTTGGTCAACAGAAAAATATCAATTGTCTTTCTTTCAGTTGGTTGACAGAAAAGCATCAATGTCTTCCTTCGGTCGTGAAGATGTTCATTTTTTTTTTCGAAGCTTTAGAATTGATATCAATGTACGTTCCAATTAATAGATTCACCAGCCAGTAGAGAATAAGCCAATAAGCCAATATGCCAATGTTGTAGTGTAGTAGCAAGCTTCAAGAAAATCAATTTCAAAATCAGATCCCATTTGACTGTAATTGTTTTGGATCCTGACGAACTTTACTAGCCCTCCAACTTTGGAAGAGGATTCTCTCCGGATCCACTTTGTGGGTTCTTATGGATTTCCATATTCTAGTCATTCATTATACATCGTGTGACTAGTTTTCGTCAGATATTATTTGTGTTTAATTTTAAATAAAAAAAATCAAATGATTTATGACCGCACGATACACGATAACGGACTAAGATGTGGAGATCCCTAAGATTCCCACAAAATGAATCCGGATGACATCCAATTCCTCCAACTTTAGCTGCATGTTCAAATCACTATATATAATGTCTCATTGAAACCACCGAGGTCACGTACCTTTCTTCACCAATGAGTTCTTGAAAAGCTGTAATTGACTTGGCACCCTTAACTCTATTTTGAAAACAAAGTCTCAAGTGTACAAGATGTCCATAAAGAATGAGATTTTCTTATGTCTCATGCTATCCTATTGTTTAAAAGTAGGTTTTTTTTTTCTTCTAAAAAGAAATAATTGATGACAAACTATAATTATCCACCAATTTCGAAATTATTTAAAAACAATTGAACTACTAACGTTTAATATTTATATTCAATATCGTAGGATAAATGTGTAATTGATTAGGTAGATAGACTGTACGAAGAAAATAATGGTTTTGCCCTTGAAAATTAGAAAATTATATTTTATGTGGGATTTCCTAAATATGCATTTCTATATCACTTCATAAATTTTCCATTTTTAAATTTTCATGAAAGAACCATGAAATTTTACAAGTGTGGGTGGTTGTTTCTTTCTTTGCATGGTGCTATATTTTACTTCATCCATTTGCATACAAAGAAAATAACGAACGACCATATGGGCAAAAAAAATTAAACACATTGTCGAGTATGTTTATAAAAAAAAATTAAAAGAGATTTGCAAGTAGCGGTATAAAAAATTCGGAAGAAAATTAAAAAATTAATTAATAAAAGGCATAAGATGAATGACACACCCCGACCGAGATCAGGGCGTGCTGGCCGTCACACGAAGGTGACGTAACCATGTGCACGTGCGGAAGCTAATAAAGTAGTAATATAAAAAGTACGAATAATTTAAAACTAGCATGCAAAGTACTAATACAAGTGCTAGCGTAAGTGAGATACAAATTCAGAGCAAGACTACAGCAGTCCAAAGAAAAGTTGCGATAAAAGTACACCCGAAGGTGACCCTACGCTGGTGAGTATCTGTCAGAAAAGCCAGAAGAACCCTCTGGGAGACCACCGAAACTGCTAAGCAACTAGAACCTGGAGGGGCGCAAAAACAAAAGCGTGAGTGGGCAAAAACAAATCTTTCGAAAACCATGTATAAAAATACTTTCTAACCCCTCGCCGTAAAACCTGTATACTTCCCAGAAAATAACATATATACGTATGTATAGGTATGCCAAACATGCTCAATTATATGCCAATCATTCTCACGAATATGCCATGTCGGAATCTCATAATGAAATGCAAGTGCTCAGGTATAAATCACATCAATAGCATAACATCTGGCAGCCGGAGTCACCTAACGTGACCTGTACGGCTGCATATAGAGCTCAAATCTCAAACTCAATAATTGAACCTGCCCACGAGTCGAAACCACCTATAGTGGTCTGTACGACAGGCCTGGGTGTAATACATATGTACGCTCTAGTGCTACGATCACGTGAAGACTGTGCGAATAATCGCGGGTCACCTACGAGTCGGAACCACCTAAAGTGGTCTGTACGACAGGACTGTGCACCTAACTTGGATCCAAGCTGAGCATGTGGTGCGGGAGGTGAACATCACGTGAAGGACTGTGCCCTACTCTGGGCGGGAGCACTAACACCGGGGGTGCAGGTTATGAGCTCTCTAAGCATCTCAAACTACTGCTGATTGTAAATATGAATATCACTTACCTGACACTTACCTGTGCGTCCACAGCACCCAATATGCATATGTATTTATATGTCACTACTAATGCATGTGATGATGCATAAACTATAATAATATTGTGCATGACATAAAACAAATAACTCTGTTTTATCAATTTCTAGGAATATAAATGTATATAGGTATATACGGAAAACAAAAGCCCACTCACTGGTATGTAGAAGGGTCGTAGCCCCCCTGCCTCGCGTGTGCACGCTCGTCCTCGGGATACGTGTCACCTATATGCGAAATAGCTATAAAAACGTTAACTTTAAAGTACATAACCAACTTCTCGTAATAACTTCTCATACATTGCTCAAAATGGACAATTGAATATACCAACGTGCTCTACACAACCTCAGGATCACAACCATATTTTTAGAAAAATTTTCCTCCGCCGCACGCGCCGGCCACGCGCAGGCACGTGCGGCGCACACGGACGGCGTCAACTGACGCCGTTAGGAATATTCCGTCAGTTTTGACAGATTCCGTTAACGGCGTCAGGAATATTCCGTCAGACTTGACGGAATATTCCGTCACCTTCTCCGGCGAACCTCCGGCGAGGCTCCGGCGCCGGCGCCGGCGCCGGAAAACTGGGAAAATTTCAAACTTCGTTTTCTCACTCGTTTTTCAACCATTTTTCACGTTTTTTGAACCAAAATGAAGCTTAGGACTAGTAGAACACATTCAAACTACTTTTAAAGGCTAAAAACCACTTGATCATACCTGTCTCCAAATTTCAAAAACCGGCCAAGTTAGAACCAAGCTATTCCAACGTCCAAACTCGTCCAACGAAGCACTCCTAGGCTCCTTGGGACCTCACTAAGCCACCTATGAGCTTCAAAAACCCAAAAACTTGGTGAATAATTTTTGCATGAACAGTACACAAATCGGAGCTTGTGAAATCGACGTGAAAACGACGAAGTTCTTACCTGAAAATGGTATGGTTGCACTCACACGAGCTTCACGAGCTTGAATATGGCCTTAGTTTCTTCGATCTGTGATGATTTAGTATAGTTGTGTGTGTGTCCGTACGTTGAAGGAAGAAGAAGAAGGATAGAGGACTCGGGGGAGAGAGAGAGACAGGGAGAAGACAGAGAGAGAGATGGCAGTGTGTGTGTGTGTGGCCCAACACATGCCAACACCACACAAACAACCAAATAGCATGACGAAAACGAACTAGGGGCAATAATGTCATTTCGCAAGTACGTTTCGATAATGTCGGGACGGGATGTCACAACGAACAACTAAGATAACACCAAGGTGCTAAGCATGTGTTGTATTTTATCACAAAAAGTTAAGTTGCACTTAGGATTAGAATTTTTTTTTTCCCTAAAAAAAGGGACAATTGGTGCCAAGCCACGATTATCCACTCCTCTTGGTTCGGAGAGGTGGGGGAATTTCACCTTGCCTATAGCCAAGTAGACTCACCAACTCGAAGCATCGAACCCAAAACCTCCCACATAAGATTAGAACAATTTAATATAAGTTATAATTTGCGTTGTGAAATTTCTAATGTTGAGACTCTATTCTCCAAATGCAAACACTTCATCTCGCGTGTAACAATCAATGCTTTAATTACATGAATTTCAAGCCCGCCAAAATTAACTAAACTTTTAGTGGAATTTTGAACATCTTGTCCCAATTGTTTTTGTATTTAAAATCGTATTCTACACTAATCAACATTAAAACAAAGAGGAAAGTTTGAAACAAAATGTAATAGGTTGACGAAAAAATTGCTAACTCCTATGATAATCCATCACTTGCTCACAATTCTTTTGTTTACGGAAAAAAATGGAAAATCAACCCTTACTATTGGGCTTTTTTCCCCAAAAAAAAAAAAAAAAAAAAAAAAAAACTTTACTATTTGGGCTTTTACCCACCCGCAATCCAACCCAAAAAGAAAAAGGAAACATATCAAGAACAGTGGAGGAATCAGCCTCTGCGGCTCCGCTTCAAACGCTGGTCAATTTTCCTTCGGCAGCTCCGTCGCGCCGCTAACCCCAACACAATCAGCTGTTTGGAAGCTCAGACAACATGGCGGAAAGCACCGGAAAATCGCAGAGAAAAATCCGAGCACGATGAAGACGACGGAGTTCATGGACAAGCAGATCATGGACCTCTCTCGATCCCACTCCGACGATTTCTATCAGCTTTCGTACCCTCAACAATTCGATGACGACGACAAGGACGACGAAGATTTCGTTTCCAGCTTTGAGTTCCGCCCCGGACGACGGGTCGTCTCGCAGGAGCCGCGTATTTCCGCTCTCGAGGTATATGCATTTCAAGTTTCAGCTAAAGCTTTAACCTTTCTGTAGGTAACTTGGAAATTTTGAATTTTAACTGGAATTAGTTGTTCTTAGTTAAATTATTTGTGGGTGTTGGATAGAATTAATTAGTTTAATTTTGTATTAATTAATCAAGTTAAATTCAGTTCAATGTAAAATTGTACATTGATGCAATTTTAAATTCTGTTCGATGTAAAAATTGCAATTTGAAGTGAGATGTGGTTGAATTTTGTAAGTTTTATCTTTCGATTGGTGTTCGTGATTGTTGTGGAGTTTCAAGTGAGTGCTTGCTTGCTTCTGTTATGAATCACAGCGTGGCAGTTCTGTGGACTTCCTCAACCTTGCAAAATCCGGAAGCAAGCATGTTGACAGGGCTTCCGAGGATTCAGCATTGATTTCGGTGATAGAACGAAAGATGGACGAGCATTTTGGCAATCTGTTGCACGGGGTGGAGGGTCTCAGTGCGCGAATTTCTCAGCTGGAGACTCGATTACGCCGGCTGGAGAATTCTGTTGGCGACTTGAAGGATTCTACTGAAATCAACCATGGGAAGGCTGATGGGAAACTGAGGCAACTAGAGAATATGCTAAGAGAGGTATTGTGAAATTATCTGTTTGGTCGTTTATCCGGTCAGTTAGGTTGCATTGTTGTATGAGTCAAGCTTAGCGGATGGATAACTTGGGTGGTACATATTGGATCCTAGGGGCACAGAATTGATATTGATGGCAAATTTATTACGTCGAAGTTCGTATTTAGCAGGTCCATAGCCAGATAATTGAAATTATCTGATTTAAATGTGTGCATGTGAGAAGCTCGACTTCAGTAACACGAGGCACAATGTACTCAGCACCAACTGTGACAATAGTGTTCAAGTAGTTGTCGGATTTTTCGTTTTGAACTGTGAGATGTTAATGATTAAAATCATGTTGAAGGCGGTAGGGAACTAGGTTTAATTCTTGTTGCAAGTGATAAACAAAAAAACGGAGAAAGTAGTGTGCAGGAGATTCTGTAATACCTGCCAACAGCTTCTTGACATGGTTTGTGTTGCTTTTAAATAAACTGCAGGTTGACGGTGGTATGCAGGATTTGAGAGATAAACAAGAGATAACAGAGGCTCAGTTGGAGCTTGCAAAGCTTCAAATGTTAAAGGGTTACCAGCAATCGGAAAACCAAACGAACAATGTACAAACAGTTTCAGCTCCAGGAGTACTGTCCTCGACGCCTCAGCAAAGCTACCAACCGCATTTAGTTCAGGGTCCTACCCAACAAGTTCCTTCGCTTCCTACTGATGATCCCCAAACTCTATCCCATCAGAATTTTCCACCAGCACAGGTCCCCACCCAGTCACCTGTGCAAAATCCACAACCCACACCTCAGATGTACTACAGCTTTCAAGTACAGCAGTCTCAACCGCCGCCCACTGCACCGTATCATCTTTCTCCTCCAGCACCACATCCTTCACTAACCTCACAATTACAGCAGCTGCCTCAACAGCACGCTCCTTTCAATGCTGTTGACCCACAAGCCCAGTTTTCTTTGGTTCATAATCCCGGAGAAACCTCCACGCCATCTCAAAGATATCCTCCAAGCTTCCACAAGACCTCTAATGCACCTGGCATGGCTCTCCCAACCCAACAACAGCAATATGCGGGTTCCATTCAGTATACGCATGATCAAACCGCAAGCAATCAGTACCCGGAGTTTTCCCCTGGCCATATGCAGCCAGTTCAACATTCATATTTTGATGATTTTCGTTCCCACGGTGGATCTCCGTCTGACAACAGCGGTCCAAACATGAAACACTCACTAGTCTTGCCAGCCTCATTAGACCGTTCTGGTGGAAGCAGCTCTTCGAAACTGCCAACTGCCAAGGTTTTGCCACATGCAATACCCATGGCTGCTAGTGTGGATAAGGAATCGAGTTCCAGTGGGACTGGAAACAGAGTACCAATTGATAATGTCATTGATAAGGTTGTAGCGATGGGATTCCGAAGGGACATGGTCAGAGCAACAGTGAAGAAAATGACTGAGAATGGGCAGTCGGTGGACGTCAATCTTGTGCTGGACAAGCTGATGAACAATGGAGAACAGCCTCAAAGTGGTGGATTTGGCCGGTAATACGTGGTTGCCGTTTATACTTTGCTTCATGATTTATGAGTGTGATATTCAACAGTATGCTTTTATTTCAATTCTTTTTTCTTCTTAATCTGCTGTTTTTCTATGTGCTATGTCTAATTACCTCCATTTTTCTTTTTTCTCTCCTTTTTTCGTAATGTAAATACTAAATAGCGAGTAAATATGAAATGGTTGGTGACATTGAAATTTGTTGTGTTGTATTTGTGAATGTAACTTTCACCAAACGTTTGCTTGGATGTTTTGTAATGGATTTTTCACGAGGAAATCGTTCAAACTTGGATTGATTTCGGTCGATTGAGTTGAATTACGAATGTTACTATCAATACATAAGCATCCAACTCAAAATCAATTGACCGATTGACTGGACGATGACGGGTGGAAGGACCCAAAACCAATTGGTTTTTCAAGGACACGCATGGAGCCTATATCCTGGTGTTTTTGAGTATCTTATGGTGGGCTATCTGTAGTGTTGCTTGGGGTGATGCAGATGGACCTGAACTGGAAAGGAACACTTTGAAGCATTGAAAGGAGTGACAGCCGGGCTTTTTTAATTCACAAAGCTGTGCAGACTTTAGGGGCGTGCTAGTGGCTGCAGAGTTATAATATACAGCCTGGGCATGGTACGATTTGGGTTCGAGATGGGAGTTGTACGGTAACCATGGACAGAGCCAACTTTGGCCCCGACTCAGTTTTTTGGTAAAAAATTGTAAGGTAAATTACACTTTCATACTTCAGGTTTGGACTTTATTTCAATTCTTTATAACATCTTCAAAACATTTCACTTTTATACCTTAAGTACTATTTTATTTCAAAATAATACATCCGTTACATTTTTCATCCATGGATCCGTTAAATGCTGACGTGGCTGCCATGACTACCAAATGTCTGCCACGTGACAACTAAAATAATTTTTTAATTTATTTTTAAAAGCCTGAAATTTTTTTTTCTTCTTTTTTTTTCTCCCTCCTCCTTCTGGGTTGCAGGGGGTTCCCTTTTTTTTTTTTTTTTTTTTTTCCTTCTCCTCCTTCTTCTTCCTCCTCCTCCTCCTCTTCTTCCTCTTTCTTCTTCTTCTTCTTCTGGGTTGTAGGGGGTTCGGGTCCCCTTTTTATTTATTTTTTCTTCTTCATCTTCATCTTCTTCTCGTAGGTTTTTGGGTTCTTCAAGGATGTGGGTCACTAGGGGGAAGAAGAAGGGGGAAGAAGAAGAAGAGAAGAAGAAGGATGAGGAGAAGGAAGAAGAAGAAGAAGGAGAAGGAGGAAGAAGAAGAAGAAGAAGAAGAAGAAAAACAAAAAAAAGAAAAAAGAAAAAGAAAAAAGGAACCCGAACCCCCTGCAACCCAGAAGAAGAAGGAAGAAGAAGACGGAATAAAAAAAAAAGGGAATCCCCTGCAACCCAGAAGAAGAAGAAGAAAAAAAAATTCAGGTTTTTTTAAAAAAATATTTTACTTGCCACGTGACAAACATTTGGCAGCTGGCAGTCACGTCAGCATTTAATGGATTCATAGATGGAAAATGTAATGGATGTATTATTTTGAAATAAAATAGTACTTAAGATATGAAGGTGAAATGTTTTGAAGATGTTGTAAAGAATTTAAGGAATTGAAATAGGTTCCAAACCTGAGGTATGAAAATGTAATTTATCCAAAATTGTACATATTGCATGCAATAATTTCACATGATAGAACATTTTCAGTTATGAAATTTCTAAAAAATATCAAATAAAAGATCAATGGATGAATTATTACATGGTTATTTAAAAAAAAAAAGAGATATTTTATGATATTGTTAATGAAGTTTTCATGCAACGTTGTCAAAACATGAAAATGCGTCGAGAAATATTATAATATGTTGTATGAAAATTTTTATGGTGCATTTCAGCTTCTCCTTGGCCATAAGTCTGGCTTCCACACCATAATGGGTTTTGAACTCGAGACCTCTACTTTTTAGTTTTATGTAATAATATATAAGTGTTTTGTTAAGTAAATTCTTGAGCATTTTAATTTGTAAATTTTTTGTTTGAGGATGCCCCTCTCTAGCTTTGTCCCTGACAAAAACCGAAACCGAAATTTTATATCAATACAGTACGGTTCAAGAGTCTGTACTGAATATACCGATGGTATCGGTTCGGTCTTGAGAATATTTCGGTTTCATACTGACATTTCGGTTTGGGATTGATTTGGATTTCTTCAGTTTGGAGGTGATTTGGGTTTCTTAGAGATTGAGTCGACTACTCAATTTAATGATTTTTTTGTGAGATGGTAGCGATGACAATAATGTGGTTCAAATTCACCTTTAGTGAGAATCAAACTTAAGATATTTTACTTACAAGTGAAGAGGAATACCACTTAACGTTAATACCAAGTGGCCAATAGATGTTCCAAAAAGAATTTAAAATAAAAAATAAAAATAAAAAGCTTATAAATCTATTAGACCCGTAGAACCTTATAAAAAGCTCATCTATATCTTGATTTTTAATGAAGCCCATTTCTATGTTTGCAAGCAGAACGACGACGTCTTGCATAACCTAGTAACCTCTTCTTCTTCCTCCAGACTTCTCATCGCCTTCCGTCGTCGCTGCTGTACAATACACATGCTGCTTCCTGCCTCTTCTTCTATGCATTTGCTTTATTCGGTTTGGTACAGTTTTTTTTTTTTCAATTTTGAAAATTCAGAACTGATATCGTACCATTAAATACTCATTCGGTACTAGACGGTCCGTGTTCGGTTTGGGTATCCTGTTCCGAATGCCCACCCCCTAGGGTGGGGTGATTCCGGCTAGTGAGGAAGGATGATAAAGAGATTAGGGTTTGGAGATGAGAAGAACAAGGGGATTGAAAATAATTTGGGATAAACTATGTTGATTAAAAATAACAAATAAAATTATATGTTAACTCATTAAATTTAATGATGTGGCATTACATGTAAGCTGCCACATCATGCGTGGTCGCTCTACCATTTTCCTAAAAATTAAACCCCGTCTCATCCATATGTAGCAACACATCTTTCCCTCAAACCCTCTCACTTAGGGTTAGGTTCGGTTCAAATCGGTTTGGTTTGGTTCTTTTTTTTTCTTTTTCGGTTTTGGTTTTTTTGGGTTTGGTTTCGGTTTTTTTTTTATTTTTTTTGGTTCTTCATTTTTGCCTCCAATGGTTGTGGATATGATGTGACCGGTCGGATTGCTACCGTCTACAACGAAAGCAGAAATTTCCTACACAACACATAAAGTTAAAGTCTTTGAAGTAAACAAATTTACCACAAAATATATGGAATTCACCATTAGAGCCACCAGAAACATGCAAAACACACCACGGATCACCCCAAAAAACCCAAAAGTTTCATGAAACGAAATCCCTAAAAGATCACCCAAAACATAAACAAATATTTTGCTATTTTTTCACAGATCGGTAGCACATGATGTAAGTGCGATGCAGATTGAAAACTTCCAAATTTAACCCAAATTACACAAAACCTTCCGACTTTAATCTAATATAACCCAGTTGATTCGCATCATTATGATCTGAGCTAAAACCGGAAGTATCCCAATAAAAACCTTGAATTTGAAGAACCCAAGCTCATACCAAAATCCAGATCAGAGAAAAAGAAACAGAACTGCTGCTCAGCTGAGAAAGTTTCTACCTTTCGCAACCAAACATAAACAAAAATTAGAGAAAGTAATGAGGGACTAAGAGAGTACCTTATCGTCAGCCATGATTAGATGGGAAGGAAGAGGTGAGAGAAAGAGCGAAAGAGAGAAAGAGGAAGAGGAGAGAGAATCAGATCGTAAATTTTGTGGGGAGAAAGGAGAAGACCATGGTGGTGGCAGTAGTAATGGTGGCGATGGTGGATGAGAATGAAGAGGAACCTGGGATTTAGGAATGATAAGGGAAAAGTAACAGACTACAAAGTACAAAGGAAAGTTGTTGACCCTAAAAACTACCAAGTCTACGTGGTGCGCAGGCCGAATAACTAATGAGCTAACTACGTCATTCGGTTGATGCGGGGCGTGTCGACTCGTCGGCCGAGCTCGGTCGAGGAGAAAAATTTGTTGATGTTGTGTTGAGCGAGCTGCTGACTTCTTGATCTTGCAACTGCGGCTGAGGAAGGAACACGCCTCGGCCTTCGGGTTCTAGAGCCTGAAGACAAGGCTGCTAGTTCTGCGAAGTTCAATATCAAATTCGGCTTTCAATGTGCTGAATGTAGTAATCTGTAACACCTCACTTCGTCGAGATGACTAATGAGATGACTTCTGCCAATAAGGATTCGAAAATCCTTCTCGACCAAGACTTGGATAGGTAACCAGTCGGCCTCGACGCAGTGCTATTTATCCAAACTGAAGGTGTTCCAGGAACGGCTAATTCTACGGCAATAGTGTTGTTTATCCAAACTAAAGATGTCATCGGTTGCCTTCATAGTGCTGTTTATCCAAACTGAAGATATGTTGGCGAAAAAAGAAAATTAAAAAGAATCTCAAGATGTTTGAGAGGTTTGCGCAGGGCAATTTGTGTGTTGAATTGGAGAGTCTTTCTCATTGTCACTACTTCTGTATTTATAACATTCATATCTTCTACTAGGCATGGCCAGATAATTTTGTAGAATCTAACTACAACTCTAATTCGCAGAACTGAACTTGATCCACATCAGAAACCAAGGCATATCCTTTAAATTGATCCGTGGGATTTTTCCCTTGACTTTTCAAGCCTAAAACAAGTTGGGCTTATCACATCTCATAAGAAACCTAGCCAACCTAGGCTTCTTATCATCAAAACTCCATCAGTAGCTTTTAAACCCATCTGACAACATCCATCACCGTGCAAAAAGGCCTAGTTTACCTAGGTTCCTTATCTTATCATTATCCAAGACCACGATTTTAAGATCATCAAATCCCAAATGTTGATCTCCACTCCAAGCTATTTTAATCTACACATCCACTACCATACATCCAAATCAATTTGAACTGTATTGCTTGCTTCATTATCTGACGCCGTACATATCACAATATTCCACCATCATTCAAATTAATTGGGATTTAGACAAATATTAGGTTTAAATAATTTAATATATTACTAAGAGATAATATCTTGATTAAAATCACAATATTATTTCTCAATAATAATTGAAAATTATTTCAACCATTTGGTCATTCAATGGTCTAAAATTATGCTCATTCAACGGTCTCGATTGCTCGAGCCGATAGTGTAAAATCGGGTCCAAACATTACCCCCCCAGTTTCCTTGGACTTCGGCGCGCAAGCCGAATGGTCAAGGAAATTAATTATTTTGTAGCCAGCAAAATCATGTATCGTCGA